GGGGGGGGGGGGGGCGGGGACGCCTATAGTAACATTTCGAGGCCAATACTAAAGAAGAACGTTAGTATATGGGCTCCCCTTATGCCATTATACCTTGCGATGGTGGTTGGCAATATAGAATCGGTAAACGGTCGACGTGTAGCCATCCCAACCGACACTGGCTCAGGCGCTTGCTGAGAGTCGTCTCCCTAACTTAAAGTTAGGTCATCTGCAGGTACGGGCGCGGCTGCGGTGCTGTAGCCAGGCCGGCTGTCCGGTACGTGATAGCTCTGTTGATGCGTACTAACGTGCGGCATCGCATGCCATCAACACGACTTCCCTACTTGCGGGATGCGCCTGCTGGCCATGACTGTATAGAGAGAGCTTCACATGTCACACGTTGTTTTGACGCGGCGGACGGGTAAGTTTATAAGCAGCTGATCTCTCAATACTTAAGTATGCGCTGAGATGTGGGCGCATGTAATTGTGGTTTAAGCCTCAGGATCCTCGCTGCGCATATATATTAACGCCGTGGTCTAATTGCGTAATCGTAATGCGATATTTAATAATGATTTTGCTGATTGGCCCTTGATATGATTTTGGGACAGTTTTATGCAGCCATGCTGTGGACCGCCGAGCATTGATCGAGGCGATACTAATCGCCAGGCAAGAGGAAAAAGAGAAGGAACCGAAGGTAAGGCGCGAGAGAGCGAGCGAGAGCAGAGGGGAGACAGATCAGCCAGGGAAATGCGACTACAACGGAATGAGAGAAACACGGGTAGAGTTCTTCCCGCGGCAACGTAGAGGTGCTTGTTGTGAGAAAGTTGTCCCCCTGTCGTCGCCGTCGTATCGTGCTGCGTGATGCTGCGGGCGAACAACGGTAACATCACACTCTTACAACACACATCGACACACACACACACATCACACACACACACACACACGCACACACACACACACTACAAGCACGCGCACGCACGCAGCGCACGGCACCGCGACGGATGGGGCTGGGGCTCACGCACGCACGCACGCACACACGCAGCACAACACACACATGCACACACACAACCACACACACACACACACACACACACACAAAGCCGCCGCACACACACACACACACACACACATCAACTTACATGCACTCGCCGCGTCGCCAGCATTTAATAGGGCGAGATTAGCATGAACAACATGTCAATCCGTTATAATAATATAGGATATACTTATGTTCATGGATAATAGTAGTAGGCATAGCTATCAAAGACGGTAACGATAATTTATAGAAAAGATTAAGCATTTCGATTTTTAAACATAATTTTGAATTGCATTTGGAAGATGCCCTTAACGTTAGACTAGGCGCACGTTTAGACGTTTTTACATAGTTTAAGCAACATCTTTCATCAAATGAACAAAACTCCACCACCACTTACGACCACCGACCACACCCCTACCACCACCACACCGGCCGCCGCCGCGCCTCCATCACCACCGCCGAGCCACGCCCATCTGCCAACTCCATCACCGAGTAACAACAACAATTTTAAACTATAACTCGCTCACACAGCGTGCGCGCACGGAGCCCTGATTGCACGCTGTGCGCGTTGACGTCATGAAGGAGAAGTGTTTGTACTGGGACAGAGGCAGGCGTTCTTTTTTCTGCGGGTCGCCGTGCGGTATGTGGCTTCTCATCTGGAATCATCAGGGAGGCGTCTGTCGCCGACATAATCTGCGGAGAAAGTTCGAAAGCCGAACACGCGTTATGTTTCACGTTAAAGCGTCCGTAACCAGACATAGGTTATAAAACTAACAGTATTCTAGACTTACCATTACGTCTGAACTTAAACGCTAACCTACTCAAAACTTAGCCTAAACCATAACCTGGATCTTAACGTTTGACCCTTGACCGCAACCCTAAGCGTACACGCGCTAATCTTAACCCCGTCGGTTTAACCTTATCTTACCCATAACCAACATTAAGCCTTAACCTAACATAACCCTTACCCTAGCCCCTACTAATTTCCTAATAATTGATAGGTATCTACGGCATAATATATATTATATCTGGCGTGATTAAAAAGTTGGTTTTTTTAATTCACTCTGATTCTAATTATTAATAGATTGGTAACCTCTTGGTCGATAAGTAATTCGAGGTGCGTAGTTTGGAAACGCGTCCACTTTGGCTTCGTGTCTGCATCCGATCTTGAAATTGCTAAACGCGTTCGTTGGCGGCTTAATACATCGGCGCTGTTTCACGTCACGGTGGCACAGCGGGCTTGCAGTGGGAGCCTACAACTATGCAAACGAAACCGTTACTGCATATATGCAGGGGGGGGGGAACGGGTATTTTCGGGACGCAGGGATGGCAATTTCAATTAGCTGGAACTGGGAAATGTGCAGATAAATTTTTCTTGATTCGGGAACGAGAAGTCCCATCGGGAACGTGGGAACAGACCCTCTAAATTGTCTGGGATCTGGAAATTGTTCAATTCGTCGGGATTTTCAATTTCTGCGCTAATATATTTTATTTTTTTTATTTTTTTATTTTTTCTTATTATGACGATAAATACTAGTATGTAAATATTAATATTTATGTAGTCGTTTTGAAACCTAAACTACTGGAATTGTCCTGAAACATTCTACAAAAAAAAATAATTTTTTCCCCCCTGTGGGCAGAATGGGAATTGGGATTTTCATTTTATTCCTGGGAACTGGGATATTGGGTGTTTCTTTGCTGGACAGTGGGAATGTACCTCCGTTCTCCCCTCATACTATTGCAAGACATAACAGAATTTATTTCTTACGCTAATTTCTTATCTAGGTACGTAGGCCTATAGTGTGTATTGTATAGAAGAAGGAGAAAAGATGAAACGAGAGCGATATGGAAAAGCGGGGAGAGAGGGGGAACGGATAGAGAGACCTGCGCGAGAGTGTGAAGTGTGACGAGAGAGACGAGGGTAGTGTCACTAGTGTGTTGTGTGTGTGCGCGTGCGTGCGTGCGTGCCGTGCGGCGTGTGTGTGTGTGTGTGTGTGTGTGTTGTGCTGTGTGTGTGTGTGTGTTGTGGGTGGGGGGGGGTCAAGCCCATCCCCTGGACGACGGGTAATATGGTATGGTATCATATATATATACAACTATATGCCATCCATTACACTGAGCAAAGCAGTGAAATATTGGTGGAATACCTTATAAATCAATTGCGAACTGTTTGATTAAAACAATATGATCCTTGCCTTAAAGCCGCTGCCATAATCTTATAATTTCATTTTTCCCTTTAGCTTTTTGGCCAATTTTTAC